CAAAGGAATGTGACTCAGGTTACTCCAGAGGCACCTGCACATCCATGTTTATTGCAGCACTATTCACATCAGCCAAGTTATGGAAACAGCCAAGATGCCCTGCTACCAACGAATGGATTAAGAAAATGTAGTGTTTATACACAGTGGAATTTTACTTAGCCACAAAAAATGAAATTTTGTCATTTGCAAGTAAATGGATGGAACTGGAGAACATCATCTTAAGCGAAGTTAGCTAGGCTCAGAAGGCCAAAAATCATATGTTCTCCCTCATGTGCAAACTTCAGACCTAGAACATTGGTCACACACTAAGGGCAGAACACATACAGGAGGAATAAGGAAAGGCAAGAAACCCAACACTTCAAAGTGTTTGATATGCCCACTGTAGAGGAGCAAATAAAGTAATCTTAAACTGACAGAGGCCACTATGGGAAGGTGACTGTGAAGTAGTGAAGAGGTCTGGTAGAGATGAACCAATTTGGGTTGTAATACACAAGTGCATGGAAACAATGCTAGGAATCTCTCTGTATAGCTATCTTTATCTCAAACTAGCAAAAACTCTATGTCTTACTTACTATCACTTATGTCTTCTCTTCAACAAAATTGGAGAAGAGGGCAGAACAGGTTCTGCCTGGAAGCAAGAAATGAGGAGAGGGAGGGAGCGGGGTGCAGTGGGGAGATGGCCCAAGCAATGTATGAACATATGCATAATGTGCCTTGTAGTTACAGTGCACATGAAAATCAGCAGGATATGTTAGAATTGAAGGAACTCAGAGAATTCTCAAGGAAATCTACTAAGAAATTTAGGACATGTTCCAAGCATCAGGGTGGGCCTTCCCTAGGACATTACATTTATATCCAACTGTTGATAGAATTGTACAGACAAAATCAAAGAAGAAAGACCTTTTAATATTGCGATAAATTATCATGTGATATAAATGCAAAAACAGTAATTTGGATGGAACAGCATTGAGAAATGTTCATAAGAATGCTGAAAACATACATGTCTTCAAACTGATTTTAAGAACTCAGAAAAATGCTAGAAGCTACATATATAAAAATTATCAAGTGAAAATGAATATGAACATTAGATGGTAATTATGTCCAAATGTACACTCTTGAGAATTTCAAGACTACAGGACTAAATCAAATGCTGTAGAAATCTAGACAATGTAACAAATATATTTTGTCAAAATGGTAAATTAAAAGAATGGTTTCAGCTGGCTGCTAAACACTGTGTACATGAAGATTACCAGGACCAAAAAGAATTTTGAGGAAGCTTCTAACATCACATTGACAAGGAAAGTCAAGGTGACTACAGGTTTCTTGTGATAAAAAGTTTCAATATTTGTCAAATGGGTTAAAAAATCAAAAGGAAACTCCTTCTCAAAATATGTTCCATAATTTATGAAATATATGTTAATATTAAAATAGAAGAAAATAAAACTTTGAAGTTGCATAATGATGACTCTGACTATATATGTGTGACCAAAATGAAAAATAGATCATTGTATTTTTATGGAAAATAGAGAACAAATTCAGTTCATATAGTTAATTAATATGACAACATACACAAATTAGCAATGAATTTAAAATGCCACAACTTACATAGACTGAATTTGAACTTTCAAAAGAAAGGGGAAAAAATTAACCTCAGCAGCAATCCAGGACAGGAAAAAATTATTTTTCCAAAGAGGCTGCAAAATTACATTTAACTAAGCAGGCTTTCAACACTGTGTGAACAAAATTTATCAGGAAAACATAAAACATACATGAACATTGTGACCCCCAGAATGAGAATTATAAACAAGGATAGCCAAAGTTCCACATACCAGAATGGGCCAAGATGATGTTATAAAGTATTTTCATATAGACAGAAATTCATAGGAAAAAATCAAAAAGACAACAGTTACTCAGATATTACAGTAGAAAATACAATGGTATGAGAGTGGTAAAAAATATCTAATTTAAGAAAACTTATCACTGACTAACCAGAACAACCTTTAACACTACATTCTAGAAAAGATGGAAAATATTTAAGAAGTCATAAATAAAAATTCCACTACCACATTTCTGAATAATTGTTAAAAGAAAGATGCCAATACCAACGTATAATATGCAGAAGTTTTAACAAGAAAAGTATCTGCTTAAAAGTTATTTATCATCTATAAAGGCTAAAACTGAGTGGAGAATGTGAATTATCAGGTAATCATAACCTGACTTGTAATCACAAAGCTCAAATAGACAAATTAGAATTTAGGAATTTAGAAAACTCACAAGGAAATCTAACAATTTGAGGGCATGTGGGAAGAATCAGTATGGGCTTAACCTAAGACATTAAATACTCACATAATTGCTGAAATGATATTTTGATTTGCCCTTTTTTCATGACTAAGGGTATTGAACAAAAACTTTGAACTCAAGGGGCTACAGGAATCTCTATCTATCCCTGTCTCCCTTAAGAGTGGGATCTCTTGGGATATAGCTGAAGTCTCCCAGCTTCGTGTACATATATCTTTACAACAGAGTTTCCCTATGTAGCTCAAGCTGGCCTTGAACTCATGATCCAACTGCTTCTGCTTCCCAAGTGCTGGGATTACCAGCATGTGCCACTACATGATTTGAAAATTTATGACTGCAAGGGAAAATAGAAATCAACAATTTTATCTAAAGAATTCAAAACATGTAAACTAGTACAACCACTCTGGAAAAAAATTTGGAGGCTACTTAAAAATCTAAACATTGATCTACCATATGATCCAGCAATACCACTCTTGGGGATATACCCAAAAGAATGTGACACAGGTTACTCCAGAGGTACCTGCACACCCATGTTTATTGAGGCACTATTCACAATAGCCAACTTATGGAAACAGCCAAGATGCCCCACTACTGATGAATGGATTAAGAAAATGTGGTATTTATACACAATGGAATTTTATGCAGCCATGAAGAAGAATGAAATGTTATCATTCACTGGTAAATGGATGGAATTGGAGAACATCATTCTGAGTGAGGTTAGCCTGACCCAAAAGACCAAAAATCGTATGTTCTCCCTCATATGCGACATTAGATCAAGGGCAAACACAACAAGGGGATTGGACTTTGATCACATGATAAAGCGAGAGCACACAAGGGAGGTATGAGGTTAGGTAAGACACCCAAAAAACTAGATAGCATTTGTTGCCCTCAATGCAGAGAAACTAATGCATATACTTTAAATGACTGAGGCCAATAGGACAAGGGGACCAGGAACTAGAGAAAAGGTTAGCTGGAGAAGAATTAACTTAGAAAGTAGCACACATGTACAGGAAAGCAATGCAAGTCAACTCCCTGTATAGTTATCTTTATCTCAACTAGCAAAAACCCTTGGTCCTTCCTATTATTGTTTATACTCTCTCTTCAACAAAATTAGAGATAAGGGCAGAATAGTTTCTGCTTGGTAGTGAGGGGCTGAGTGGTAAGGGAGGGGGCGGGGGCAGGGGGAGAAATGACCCAATCATTGTATGCACATATGAATAAAATAAAAAATTTTTTAAATAAATAAATAAAAAAGAATTCAAAACACTTCTACTGGTAAGTGACAGATCAAAAGGCAGAAAATCATTAACTATAAAGTCAACACAACTACCTGATCAGCCAACTAGAAGCAACTGTTAAAGAACTCATCAATCAACACTTGAACATTAAATATTTTAATGAACATCATGAACATTCACAAAGATACACCATGTTCTGAGCTATTACATACACTTTAACTAATGTAAATCTATAGAAATAAAAGCCTTACATTTCCTGAGGAGTGTTGTATGAAGCTTGCAGAATACAGGTCACCAATATGCAGATGGGGTTGAGTGTTCTCTCCTTTCTGAGGGTGTAACTCTGGTTGTCATGGGACAATTTTCTGTGCAGTGCTTTAATTTAAACATGCACAGTTATCCTAGAGTCACACTGAACTATGTACATATGAAAAAAATCTGTTTAGGTCAGACTTAGACAAAGCCACATTTAGGTAGTCTTCTGGACAAAGGACTTATGCATTTGACAGTTTAGGTCACAATCTTATAGTGACTGAAGGAGCTCATCCTTCTGAAGAGTATTAAGGTGTAGGATAGAGTTTTCTCACTAGGAGGAGGGAACAGCAGGACACGATGGGCTCCCAGAGTTATATCCTCAGGTTTCCCTGATCATCAACAGGGACTAACACACTTCAGGTTTCTTTTTTAAGCACTCAGTGTGTTCTTCACCCTTGGCAATATATTTAAATGTGTGAGTGTGGGTTTTCCTTTTGACCTTGCTTAAAGAAGTCTCCTTCTCTGAGCTAGTTCAAAGGTTGCTTTCCTCTTCTTGATTCCTTTGTAGAATTTGTTGCCATATAACTCCATTTTCTCTACACATTAAATAAGTGAATTCCATGGTTGGTGCAATTTTTTTTTCGGGACTGAAAATGGACAGATTGAAAAATAAGGCCTGAGAAAACCTTGTCACTCTGCCTCATTCCAAATTCCTTACTTTTGACATCAGCCCTCCATCCACTTCCAGTGTCCTGATGTGCCATTGACACCTTTCCTCTGGCATCATGCGTTTTCTGTGGGACACTGTTAATGGAACTCCCTGAGCACACTCGTGCCCTGTCCCAGCTCCCCCTCGTCGCCCCGCCCCAGTTTTCAAGAAGGAATAACTAAGGGCCCAGTGAGTATGATATGAGGCAGTAAGTAGTCTGTAAGGCCACGATCAGCTCCAAATAAATGCAAATATAACTAGGCTGGGCCAGGCATAGGCTGTTGGCTCCATGCAGCTAGATAAAGCACATGCTGTGGCTTAGTCCTTGGAGGGAGGAGGAGGAGTGGGAGGGAGGGAGGATGAGAATCCTTAGCCAATCAGAGAGCCTGTTTCTAGTCTGCATCAATTGACCAATGAGGAGCGCTAGTACTTGGAGGTCTGCGCTGCCTTCCGGTGTATATCGCTCTCCGCCATAGTTGTCCAGTATCCACTGCTGAGAAGTTTCCTCAGGCTCTTGAGCTTCTGCAGCAGTGTTTTTTCCACTTACTGCAGGATCCTAGGGAGGACAGCTGGATGCTCGGAAGCGGGAAATGGTGAGAGTGAGCCATGGGGGGGGGGGGGGGAAGGGACTGCTGAAACCGTAGTGGTGGCGCTTCTTGGACTCGGTCAGTTCTGGAGTCCGCGACCCGCCTGGGCCCTTCGTCTCCTGTGGCCTGCAGGGTCTGGTTGTCTGGGCAGGCAGCCAGTAACGTCTTGTATCCCCGCGAGGCGACTTCATCCAGCCGGCAGCCCGCGCTACGATGCTCTGCCCGCAAACCCGTGTCTGTCTCCCCGACTGTGCTGGAAGGGCAGGGTGACTCCCCACTTGGTTGTGCGTTCGGAATCGGGACTTGGTGTGCGTTGTCCCCCATCTCTCCTTTCTGTAAGGCGGGGCCTGGATTTCCTATGACTTTAAGGTTCAAGGGGAGTAGGGTTTAAATCCCACTACCTGTCTCCTCAGACCAATGCTTCTCTGCACTGCCCATAAATCCCTGAATTTCCACTGATCCCCCACATTGCCACATGCACACGTGGTTGATGTTGGAGTGGAGGGGAGACGTGTTGCCCTTTCTGACATAACTATTTTTGTTTTCAGACTGTTTCTAGACGTTGTTTTGTAATGAAATGCGCATTAACATAGAATATGACTTTGTTTTATAGAAGTGTTACAGTAGAGTGGAAGACCCAAAAGTATGCAGGCATCTCAGTGGTTAGATAGAAAGGGGATTTGCATCCCAAGGGAGGAGAAAACAAGAGTAGAATGAAATTGAGAGAGGAGAGATGCTGGAGAGTGGTTTCCATAGTTTAGCTATCCTGAATAATGCTGCAATAAACATAGGTGTGCATGTGTCTTTATTGTAATCTGAGTTAACATTCCTTCTGATATATCCCTAGGAGGTATTGCTGGATCGTATGGCAGTTTTCGTTTTTAGTTTTTTTGAAGAGCCTCCATACTGTTTTCCATGGTGGTTGTACTAATTTACATTCCCACCAACAGTGTGTGAGTGTTACTTTTTGCCTGTATCCTTGCCAACATTTGTTATGTTCTTGATGATAGCCATTCCTAACAGTAGTGAGATGCACTCTTAACGTGGTTTTGATTTGCATTTCTTCATGTGTTTTCGGCCATTTGGACTTCCTGTTTTGAAAAAGCGCTGTTCGGTTCATTTCCCCATTTCTTCAGTGGATTATTGATTCTTACGTGTAGTTTTTTGAGCTCCCTGTAAATTACGGTTGTCAATCCCCTATCAGATGTATAGATGACAAAGATGTTCTTTCATTCTGTGGGCTGTCTCAAGTCTGCTGACCATTTCTTTTGTTGTGCAGAAGCTTTTAGTTTCATGTAGTCCCATTCTCTTAATTGCTGAGTTCTATTTAGAAAGTTGGTGCCTATATGTGTCAGTGTATTCCCTACTCTTTCCTGTACTAGTTTCAAATTTTCAGATCTTATGTTAAGGTCCTTATGCACTTGATATTTGTGCAGGTTGAAAGACATGGGTCTCATTTCAGTTTTCTACATGCAGATATTCAGTTTTCTGAGCAACATTTGTTGAAGAGACTATCTTTTCTCCATCATATGTTTTGGGTGCCTTTATAAAAAGAAAGTAGAAGTAACAGGGCAGATTTATTTATATCTGGGTTTTCTATTCTGTTCCATTGGTATTTATGTATGGTTTTGTGCCGGAACCTTTGCAATTTTTATTTCTATGGCTAGGTAGTATAGTCTGAAGTCGGATATTGTGATACCTCCAGCATTGATTATTCCTTTTGCTCAATATTGCCTCGGCTATTTGCAGTGTTTTGTGTTTCCATATGAACTTTAGGGTTGATTTTTCAATCTCTGTGAGGAACGTCATTGGAATTTAAATGGGGATTGCACTGAACATGTAGATTGCTTTTGGTAAAGTAGTCATTTTCACAATGCTGATTATACTAACCCATGAGCATATGCATTACCTTCTTCTAATGACTTCTTCAACATCTTTCTTCAGTGATTTATAGTTTTTATTGTAAAGTTCTTTCACTTCCTTTCTTAGGTTTGTCCCTGGGTTTTGTTTTATTTTGTTTTTTGGGTTTCTTGAGGTTATTTTAAATGGAATTGTTTTCCTACATTCTTTCTCAGTCTGTTCATTGTTGGTATATAGAAATACTCATTTTTTTTAATATTGATTTTGTGTCCCATTACTTTGCTGAAGGTGTTTATGATATCTAGAATTTTTTGGTGGAATTTTTAGGATCTTCTAGTTATAAGATCATGTCATCTGCAAATAGGGATAATTTGATTTTTTCCTTTTCTGTTTGAATTCCTTCTTCTTATCTTACTGCTCTGGTTCAGAATTCCAAGACTGTGTTAAATATGAGTAGAGAAAATGGACAACCTTGTCTCATTCCTGGCTGTAGAGAAAATGCTGTCAGTTTTTCCCCACTTATTATGATGTAGCTATAGGCTTGTTGTAGCCTTTATGTTGAGGTACATTATTTCTATTCCTAATTTCATCAGATGTTGAATTTTGTCAAAGGCTTTTTTTCTCATCTATTGAGAAAATCATGTGATTTTTGTTCTTGCTTCTATTCATACACTGTTTGAATCATACTTGCATTCCTGGAATGAAATTGACTTTATCATGTTGTATGAATTTTTTGATATGTTGTTATTTTGTTTGCTAGTATTTTATTGAGAATTTTTGCATCTATATTCATTAAAAGAGATTGTCCTATAATTCTCTTTTTTTTTTTTGTTGTGGGCTTGTCTGATTTTGACATGAGTGTAATACTAGCTTCACAGAATGAGTATGGAAGTGTTCCTTCCCTATTTATTTCATGGAAAAGTTTGAGGAATGTTTGTATTAGTTCTTTTTTAAAGATCTGTTAGAACTCAGTAGTGAATCCATAGGGTCCTGGACCTTTCTGTTTTGGGAGGCTCTTTATTGCTGCTTCAATTTCATTGCTTATTATAGATCTATTTAGATGGCTCATATCCTTTTGGTTAAATTTTGGTTGATCATATGCATCTAGAAATTTATCCATTTCTTCTAGATTTTCCAATTTATTTGAATATGGGTTTTTGAAGTATTCCCTAATGATCCTCTGGATCTCACTACCATTTGTTGTGATACCCCTTTTCATGTCTAATTTTATTTTGTATATTTTCCCTTTTCATTTTGTATGCTAAGGGTTTATCAATTGAGTTTATCTTTATAAAGAACCAATTTTTGTCTCGTTGATTCTTTGTAATTTTTTGTCTCTCATTGATTTTGACCCTTATTTTTATTTTATATTTTTTTATTTTTCATTTATTCATATGTGCATACATTGTTTGGACCATCTCTCCTCCCTACCTCCCACCCCCCTCACTTCCAGGCAGAACCTGTTCTGCCCTCTTCTCCAATTTTGTGGAAGAGATAATAAGAAAGACATAGCATTTTTGCTAGTTTGAGATAAAAATAGCTATACAGAGAGATTCCTAGCATTGCTTCCATGCACATGAAATTGGTTCACCTCTACTAGACCTCTTCACCACTTCCCAGTCACCTTCCCATAGTGGCCTCTGTCAGTTTAAGATTACTTTATTTGCTCCTCTACAGTGGGCACATCAAACACTTTCAAGTTTTAGGTTTCCTACCTTTCCCTATTCCTCCTGTACATGTTCTCTTCTTAGTATGTGACCCATGCCCAATAATATTACTGCACTTGTTTTTGTCGACCCTTATTTTTATTATCTCTCTCTTTCTGCTGGTTTTGGATTTAGCGTGTTATTTTTCTAGGAATTTGAGTTGTAGCATTAAGACTTTTATTTTAGATTCCTCTGCTTATAATAGGCATTCATAGCTATAAACTTTCCCTAGCACTTCTTTTGCTGTACCCCATAAATTGTGGTAGGTTGTGCTTTCATTTATGAGATTCCAGGAACTTTTTGATTTCCTCCCTTATTCATTGAATACCCACTGGTCATGGAGTAATATGTTGTTCACTTGCCAGGTATTTGATTATTTTCTGCTGTTTCTTTTGTTGTTGAATTCTAGTTTTATTCCATTGTGCTCAGACAGTATTTCAGTTTTCTTACATTTTTTGAGACTTTCTTTGTGCCCTTAAATATGATCTACTTTGAAGAAAATTCCATGGACTGCTGAGAAGAATTGTGCTGCTACTGGATGAAATACTGTGTGAATGTCAGGTCCATTTGGTCCATGGTGCATTTAAGTCTGAAGTTTCTTTATTGATTTTTGTCTGGATTACCTATCTAATTGTGACAGTGGAGTATTGGAGTATCCCACTATCATTTTTTGGGGGAGTATGTGTTTTTAAGTACAGAAGTGTATATTTAATGAAGTTGGGTACACCAACATTGGGTACATATACGTTAACAGTTGTTATTTCCTCTTGATATATTGTTCCTTTTATTGGTATGAAGTGACCTTCGTTGTCCCTTCTGACTAGTTTAGGTTTGAAGTCTACTTTATCTGGTACAAACAAGTATAGCTACTCCTGTCTGTTTTCAGGGGCTGTTGCTTGGTAAATCTTCTCCCACCCTTTCACCCTAAGCCAGTGTTTGTTTCTGTCTTTGAGATGAGTTTCTTGTAAACAACAAATCATTAGGTCTTCCTTTTTTTTAATCCAGGTTAACAATCTATGTTTTTTGATGAGAAAATTGAGGCCATTAGCATTCAGCGTTAACATTGAGAGCTGTGTGGTGATTTCTGCCATTTTGTTCTTTTGGTATGTAATGGTATGTGTGTATGTATGTGCAGTTGATTCTATGCTACTGTACGATTGCTTTTAGAGGTTAAAACTTAGGTGCTAAAACTAACGGGTGGAAAAGGAGATGAGGAAAAAGGAGAGACAGGAAGAAGCCATGTGAGATGTGGAGACTACAGGTTAATAAGAACCTAATGTGTGTAAAAATGTAAATCAGTCAATGTGGAGGAGATGCTATTGTCAGGGGTTGCAGAGATATGAAAAGGATGGGAGAAATGTGTAAAGGTGGTAAAATAAACTACTCATTGAATCGTTTGTGAGAAAGGGATAGGAAAGTGGGGGAAAAAGGAAGAGGGGA